GACTCATTCAGATGTGTCAGAGCTGTCAGCTACTGTGTGTTCAATTTCCCACCCGCACATCCTCTGAAGCTGCACAGACTGGAGTGTGGGCAGACACAGGGGGAAGTAGAGCAGACCCAGTCTCTCCTCTCTTCTCCTATTAGTGCAAAGGATGGAGGGTGGGGGCTAGGCACTGAGAAGAACAGGGGGGGGGGGGGGGGGGGGGGTGCAGAAAGAAAACAGAACAATCAGGTGTGTTCTGTGCAGCGGTGGGGGCAGAGACAAGCAACAATCTCCTGTATGGCTTTCAATGAAGAAGCTGGAAGCTGCCTCAACTCCTCTCTCACCTGCAGCTTCCAGCTGCTTCATTGCAAGCCATACAGGAGATCGCTGCTTGTCACCGACCCCACTGTCACCCCTCCCACACTCCCCTAGGCTCGACACTGCTCACCCAGGGGCGGACTGACCATTTGGAAACTCGGGCACTGCCCGAGGGCCCGGGGTCAGTAGGGGGCCCCATAACGTGCCCCTGGTATCTTTTTCATAGGCTTTTTTGAGTTTGGGCAAGGACACAGGGGCCCCATGATCCCCTATTGCCCGGGGGCCCCATGAGTTGTCAGTCCACCCCTGTGTTCACCCCCACTTTATTTCCACTCGCAGGCGAGTGGAAACTTCGAGGGCTGCAGGGATGGTTGTCAACTCTCCTCTGGGGGGGGGGAAGAGGGTTCAGACTCCCACTGACTTCCACCTTCATCTACTCCACTGGTACACAGCCATGTACATCCATTTCTATAGAAGGCATTCATGCTGGTTGGTGTGCAAGGGTCAAATTTGGAGATCCTGTGTAGCTTGTTTTTGGTTTTAACTTGTGAAAAGTGCAGTGTGAAGTATGTCACTGACAGTCATCTGCAGTGGTTGATGCTTCAAGTATAACAGAAGGCATTTTTTTTTATAATTTTGGAGTTGAGAGGGAATCAGAACACCTGTTAGGGATTTATTAGTGTCTGCGGTCCTGTTAGTCTAGGTTCACACCTATGCGTTTTCCGCTGCGTTTTGCAGAAACGCACAGCAGTCCATGTAACATGATTTCCTATGGGACAGGTTCACATCTGTGTTTTCACCCGGTGCATTTTTTTGGAAAGGGTCAGGGACTTTTTTAAATGCAAAACGTTGCATTTTTGATTCTATAGACTTCAATGGAGACGCTGCAGATGCACTTTTGATGCATTTTTGATGCGTTTTGCATTTTAATTGCCCAGCAACAAGTTGGAAAAAAAACCCGCAAAACGTATTAATAAAGTGTCAAAATGCATTTGCAAAAACGCAAAAAGCACTGCAGAAACAGATCAAACGCAAACTGCATAGGTGTGAACCTAGCCTTAGGGAGATTCCCTTTTTCTATTTGTCCCAATGACTGCTATCACCAAAAGTGAAAGAAAATCCAGAACAGGAATAGTGGGGAAATCTTTAAATGGGGACACTAGTTCTTGTGATTACCATAGATTTCCCTCAATTCTTTTTGTGGCTTCTTAACAGGAAGTGAAGGGAAGTCTACCCAAAGGGACACAGATGGCAAAAAAAAAAACTAACCAGGGTCATAACACTCTCTTACTTTATCCAAAATGGTAAAAAATATTGCCTTCAGTTCCAATTTCAAATTTTAGTCTTTATGGCAATTCAAAATTAAGAAACCAATTTAAAAAATGTAAAAACCTATTAAAGTGTCCTTCCTGCGAAGAGTAGAAGTCTTACCTCTCCTGCCACTCTGCTGAATAGCTGAGATTCTGGCTATGTCAGCTGAATGGTCCCCTGCTTCATGCAGTGGTTTCTTCCTATGTCCACCATGATTTAGGAGTGGGCAATGGGATCAGAGAACACAGAGGGGGACCAGGCACCTGACGTGTCCTGGGTTGTTTGCAGAAAGATTATCTCTTCAGTAGAAAGAAAATTGGCAGATGTCATCATTTCTGTCTGTGATCAATTAGTGATATTCTCTACTTATTTCCTGCCCTGTGACTCCCCTCACCAGGGTTATCACCAGGATGCAGGGTTGTCACCAGGATGGGATGGTACAGACAGTAATAAAAGCAGAACGTCTAACCCTTTCGCTACTAAAATGTGTTTTTTCTTTGTCTGTTTTGGAAAGATTTGTAATTGCTTTCCATCTTTAAGTAGTGAGAAGTCTCCCCTAGAGAACAGAGACAGCAGGAAAAACTTGATGGAAGATCTAACCCAGGGGTGGGCAAACTTTTTGACTTGAGGGCCGCAATAGGTTCATATATTGGACCCGGGGGCCCGGACCAAGAGTAGATGAATGATGTGTATGTGTCATCCATAGTAAGTATAGTACTATTCCCCCATAGTAAGCATAGTAATTCATCCCCCATATAGTAATTCATCCCCCATATAGTAATTCATCCCCCCTATAGTAATTCATCCCCCCTATAGTAATTCATTCCCCATATTAATTCATCCCCCATATTAAGTCCCCAAGTCCCCCCTGTGTCAATTCACTTACCTTTGCTCCACGCGTTCCTCTCGCCGTGTTCCCGCGCCGTTCCGGTGTAGCATGAAAATCTGTCTCCTATGAGGATCTGTCCCCCTCGACGTATCTGCGCATGTGTCAGTTTCAGGCATTAGCAGCCGATCGGCGATCTCCGGCACATGCGCAGATACGTCGAGGGGGATAGATCCTCATAGGAGACAGATTTTCATGCTACACCGGTCTTCAGGGCGGACTGAGAGAGGAGCCTAGCGGGAGCCTAGCTCCGCGGGCCGGATTAAAAGGTCCGCCGGGCCGTAGTTTGCCCATTGCTGATCTAACTCCTCTTCAATCTGTCCAAAAGTAAACACAATGTTTTGGCTGGAGTTGAACCATAAAGCTGAACTCTAGGCAGATATAAAAGACACAAATTAATGCAGCGCTGTACTTATGAATACATCTTTAACCCCTTGACGCCGGAATCACACAAATATGCGGCTTTACAGAACTGGGCTTTTTTCCGTGGGGCCGCATCTTTGCATACTTGTCTTTGTGCTGGGAGTGCGCAGCACAGCGCGCTCCCAGCACAAGGACCAGAGCGTCACTGAGAGCCCCGGGTACCGTTCTAATGATACTCCCGATTCCGGGTCAGCCTCTGATTGGCTATCACAGGGATCAGTCACTGTGAAGACCGCCCCCCTTGTTTTTTTTTTCTCTCTGAATGGAGGAGAGAAATACATTGTATGTCTCTCTCCTTGCAGAGAGAAACAAAAAAAACTGTTTGTAAAAATAAAAAAGATAACTTAAAAAAAAAGTCTAGATCAAGGTTTGATCTAGTTCAGTGCCAGGGTTAGTGTCTGGGTTAAGGTCAGGTTCAAAGGTCAGGGTCGAAGGTCAGGATTTTAAAAAAATTTATATCAGTGTCAGTTTGTGTCAGTATGTTTTAGGTAAAAAACAAAATGCGCATTATTGTTTCTGAGCTGTAGTACAGGTACAAATAACATACACATATATGGTATCACTGGCATCGTCGAGAGCTGGAGAATTTATTTTGGGTTGTTCTTTGATGGTAGGTTATGGTAGTAACAAGAAATACACAGCTAAATTTAAAAAAATTATATTTTATTTTACTATTTTGGGCCAATTTTCCTTTGATTAAAAAAAAAATCAGGAGATATCCATTACCATTTGCCACCAAATGAAAGCCCAATTTGTCCTGAAAAAAACAAGCTGTAATCCACCTGGATGTACAAAGTAGTTGTGATGATATGTACGGTTTTACGAACACATGTCAAAGTTGTAAAATTTTACTTAGGCTTTAAGATTTGTTTTACCCTTAGGCGTCAAGGGGTTAAAGTGGTTGTAAACCCTTACATATACCTGGTGAAGTGACTGGCCTCAGGTGATACACAAAAATGAAACAAATCCTTCTACGTAGGTTGTACCTGTTTATTTGTAGCCTTTTTGTCTCCACACCTGTTCAAAATCCAGTTTTTTAAAGCTTGTCTGAGAGTTCAGAAAAAGGAGGTGGAGAGATACACTCTGGAGAGCCCAGTGAGAAAAGCTCTGAGAACTGATTGGAAGGAATGGACACACCCCCTCCACACAGCTCACAGGAACAGAGCTAAGGCTGCCATTCTGCTGGTCCCTCTCCTGTCACCATTTTTCTCTTGGTGTCAGGAAAACTTGTCCGAAGTGATTCATGCTGATAGCAGAGGAACGAGGCAGCAGACAGGAATAACACACATTATAGAGGGATAAGCTTTGTCCATATTTCTTGTCTGAGGTTTACAACCACTTTCAGTATATATTTTTTTTAAATGCAAGCATTGTAAGCACCTGCATTTGACTTGATATCAGGCCCTTGCAATCCCTGAAAGGAATACACAGTACAAAGAGCCAGTCAGTTTGTGCTGACAAGAAGCTTGCTGATTGGAGGAGAGATGAGGTCATCACTGAGCTATCTCTCCTTTTTCTGCCTAGTCGCAGGATGGGGATGGAAGAGGAAGTAGATTGAAGGATGCTGGTCATAGAGAGCATCTAGAGGCAGAAAAAAAGAACTGTGGGGAATATACTGTGATTCCAATTCATTTTTTTGATTGATTCCATTACATTTTTTTTAATGCCCACCTTTCCTGAGGTCTTTAGGCTGGCCATATAATGTTGCAGGATCCTCTTCATCTTATCTGGGCTACACAGTCCATAACCTGCAGTGACATGATGGCGTTGATGTGTGAATGAAGGGAACATAATGGCTGCCATTCAACCTGAAAGACTGAGAACGTGGCAAAGAAAAGGCACTGCAGGATGACAGCTCTGGACTGAAGGTGAGTATTGCAGCCTGAGTAGTTTTTTTTGTTTGTATGTTTTTATAACACCTGGCGGACCTTTTAACAAGATAACATTTTTAGCTTGGAGTTGAGCTTGAATTTTAGCATAAAACAGTTATAGAATGAACTGGGCATTTTGAGTTCCACTCAACCTATCAAAAAATTAATGTCAGCAGCTACAAGAACTGTAAAAAACAGCCATTTATCTGTCCCTCGGTCCCGTGGTGTGCCCCCAACAGCTTGTTTCACCGGCTGTCCTGTATTCCAGAAGGCCAGCATCTTCAGTGTGGGCACCCAGCTGTGATAGCTTGCGGCTTCACAGCCGGGTACCCACTGCACATGCGCGAGTAGCACTGTTCTTCCTGAATGGTCCTGTAGTCTTCTGGGACCTGTCACGTGTCCCAAAAGACTACAGGGAGGGAGGACACCTTCCGTTTCCGATCGCCTAGGCGGAAGTGGGAGCGGGGTATCTGTCAAATTCGGGTACCCGCTCCCCAAAGGTGCCAATCCTTAATGGGGAGTGGGGGAGCAGTCCTTAAAGTGGAACTTCCTCTTTTGGGTGGAGCTCCGTTTTAAGAGATTTACAATCTGGCTGTTCTCATTTCCCAATAGAGTTTTTATGATTTTTTTCTTAAATCTTTTTTATAACCACATTAAGACTGCCTACCGTAGATATACTGTGATAGAATGGCCCTGCGGCAGCGGTTCATGTACTGTACATGTACGTGGTCCAGCTCTTCTTGGTGGGGGGCAAGTGCACCTGTCACCCTGGCTGTGCTGTCAATCACTACAGCACAAGCTGATCAGTGGATCCCAGCCAGGGGCAGACTGACAACTCATGGGGCCCCCTGGCAATAGGGGGTCATGGGGCCCCTGTGTCCTTGCCCACATTCAAAAAAGCCTATAAAAAAGGTACCAGGGACATTTCATGGGGCCCCCGGGCAGTGCCTGAGTGCTTGAATGGTCAGTCTGCCCCTGATCCCAGCCAATGATTTATGGCTGGAACACACTGATCAGCTGAGTGAATGACAGAAATGGGTTCTCTACAGATCTACATAGATGTTAAGACGGCTACAGCGTGGTTGTCCAATTCTGGGAGGGAGTCCATGGACGTCCTCCCAGAACGCGCCCCAGTGGTGCGCACCCAGTGCTGTCGATGATCTCTGTGTCCTACGGACACAGCTGTTCATGTGGTTAGGTAAAAGACCACTGTGATTGGCCTTTTTCCTAATCCAAATCCAATGACACAGCAGATCAAAATGTAAATACAGTTGCCAGTTATCTGCAGCACTTTTTTCCCGCTGTCACAGCGTGAGGAAAGTACTGCCGATAACTGGCAAATGTGACGGGAGATCTGCAGTGATAATCAGGGCACTGATTATCAGTGCCCAGCAATGGCGCCCAGCAATGTCACCCATCAGTTCCCAGCAGTGTCCCCAGCAGTGCCGCCCGTCAGTGTCCAGCAGTGCCATCTGTCAGTGTTTCCAGTCAGTGCCCATCAGTACCGCCTATCAGTGCATCCTCATCAATGCCCACCAGTGCCGCCGCATCAGCGCCGCCTTATCAGTACCCATCAGTGCTGCCTATCAGTGCAGCCTCATCAATGCACATCGTGAAGGAAAAATTACCTGTTTGCAAAATTTTATAATAGAAACAAAGAAAACTTTTTTTTTTTTTCTCAAATGTTTTGCTCTTTTTTTGTTTATAGTTCAAAAAAATAAAACACCCAGCGGCGAGTAAATACCACTAAAAGAAAGCTCTATCTGTGTGAAAAAAATGTCATATGTTGCATGACCGTGCAATTGTCATTCAAAGTGCAGCAGTGCTGAAAGCTGAAATTGGCCTGGGCAGGAAGTGTGTGTGTGTGGGGGGTGGGGGGGTGCCCAGTAGGCAAGTGGTTAGTATGTATTAGTATGCATTGCATACTAGCACATTATGTCTTTACCTTGCACGGTTTTGTTTAACCTTTACTACCACTTTAATTCACCTGCAGTGAATGTTTAGTAAATGACACATTCACTGCTTTATACTCTAAATACAATGTTCATTTTTTGTCATTCAGCCAGAAGGCTGGATGAAACAAAAAACTGATTCATCCACACAAACAAGGTGGATGTAGGAATCCCCCAGCTGGACCATTGTATTCTGACAGCAGTAAGAATACACCGATCAGCAACTACAGCTGATTGGCTGCAGCTGCTAATCGGGGAAAAATGTCCAAAACATTCCTTCAGCAAAAGTTGACCAAACAATTGACTTATGTCAAGTGGGGACTGCCACACACTGATCAAAATTCAGGCAGTTCCTGCTGAACCGGATGTATTTCAGTCAGTGTATGGCCAGCTTCAGAAGTTTATCCTCATGGTTTTGTATATAATGTGCTTGTTGGAATACGTTGTTCATGTATTTTATGCAACAACTATCTATTCAGTAGATATATCTTTTTCAACCAGTAGATGGCAGTGTTTGTAAGTTTGTAGCTACATTTATGGTTAAACTCTATGTCTTTTCTCTATAATAAAGTCCCTGTGTCTTGTTAACAGAGAAGCAGCAGATAAACACATGTGGAGTGTGCACTGTCGGTTCTGTAGGGCTCTACACAGAATCTCTATCAGTGTTAATAGGCAAAAGTATACAAAGGGGTATCTGTACCCCTGGCTGAGAAACTGTGATGTAAATCAAGAATAATGGTTTTATGTGCATAGCATGTTTCATTATATAGTCCTCTGTGTATTCAACATATTTTGTATAATTTGTGTATTCAACATATTTTGTATAATTTGTTTACATTTAGTTTGTCATTACATTGTGTGGATGGTCTACTGATCTGTTTGTTTTTTGCTTTGTTAGAGCTAATGATTATGGAATTTATTATTTTCCCTATAGAAGTGCATGTAACAGTAAGTTGCTTTGCTGTAGTCAATGGTTTAGGCACATGTGTTCTGAGACATTCACGTTTCTTCTTCTACATCATCGTTCACTTCTTTTCAACCAAGCAATCTAGCAATGAATTTGTCTTTTCTGGTAGAATTACTCTTTCTTCTGAATGGCTTGATTATCTCTACAAAATAGTTGGTTTCTCCTATCTTTGCATCAATAGAAGCATTCATTCCTTGGTTATATTTGATGTCACTGACTTGCAGTTCACAAGCAAATGAGTTTCATGAATTTATTTTTTTCATTGAAGTTTATTTATGCAACACGATTCTCTTCTAAGTGTAAATGGATTTGTTGTTGTTAAATAATCCTCATCTATTGTATACTTTAACCACTTGCCCTCCAGAGGATTTACCCCCTTCCTGACAGGCTATTTTTTGCAATTACTTTAACTGACAATTGCGCAGTCATGCAATGCTGCACCCAAATAAAATTTACGGTATGTCCTTTTTTCCCCACAAATAGAGCTTTCTTTCGCTGGTGTTTGATCGCCTTTGTGTTTTTAAGTTTTTGTGCTATAAACGAAAAACCCCGACAATTTTGAAAAATAAAACAATATTTTGACTTTTTGCTTTAAAACCTATCCAGTAAAAAAAAAAACTAATTTCTACAGAAATTTAGGCCAAAAATGTATTCTGCTACATGTCTTTGCTAGAAAAAATCCCAATACGTGTAAATTAATTGGTGTACATGAAAGTTATAGTGTCTACAAATGGCGGTATATACTGGCCTCTCCCCTGTCAGCTTTGCACAGCAATCGCTGGGTACTGGTCTGTCCGGGACCTGGTGATTGGCATGCTTAGCTGCCAATGGCGGCACGTTTTACAGTTGTGGCCAAAATTATTCAACCCCCAATGCTGTAAAGGGGTTTAGGGACTATAGTGTACATTTGGAATTGTATTCAGAATCAAATCCTACAAGGACGTTGTAACTACCCAAATGCAACTAAAATGACATCAATTGTTTATGTAATACAGTAGTAAATGGTTCTTATGTGGTTTCTTCATTGCCACAATTATTCAACCCCTTAAAGACTACCACTCTGAAGAACAGAGGTTCATACAGGTGCTTTCCATCAGGTATTGAAAACACCTGTGGGATGTCACCGAGCAGCAATCAAGCATAATACACCAATTAGGCAGCTTTAAAATGACTGTGATACTCAGCTCCTTCTAGACATTTACTGGTGTGGTTACAAACATGGTGAAGGCAAGAGAATGGTCCAGGAAGACAAGAGAAGAGGTGATTTCTCTTCACAGGAAGGGCAATGGCTATAAGAAGATTGCAAAGATGTTAAACATACCAAGAGACACCTTAGGAAGCATCATTCGCAAAAGGCAAAGGGCACTGTTTGAAACGCTACCTGGTCGTGGCAGAAAGAAGATGCTGACTTCGACTGCTGTGCGCTACCTGAAGCGTAGAGTGGAGAGAAGTCCCCGTGTGACTGCTGAGGAACTGAGAAAAGATTTGTCAGATGTGGGTACAGAAGTTTCAGCCCAGACAATAAGACGCACACTGCGTAATGAAGGCCTCCGTGCCAGAACTCCCAGGCGTACCCCCTTGCTGTCTCCAAAGAATAAGAAGAGTCGACTGCAGTATGCCAAAAGCCATGTGGACAAACCACAAAAGTTGTGGGATAGTGTTCTGTGGACTGATGAAACAAAATTAGAACTGTTTGGGCCCATGGATCAACGCTATGTTTGGAGGAGGAAGAACAAGGCCTATGATGAAAAGAACACCTTGCCTACTGTGAAAGCATGGTGGAGGGTCAATCATGCTTTGGGGCTGTTTTGCTTCTGCAGGTACAGGGAAGCTTCAGCGTGTGCAAGGTACCATGAATTCTCTTCAGTACCAGGAGATATTGGATGGAAACGTGATGCAGTCCGTCACACACCTGAGGCTTGGGAGACGTTGGACCTTTCAACAGGACAATGATCCCAAGCATACCTCCAAGTCCACTAGAGCATGGTTGCAGAGGAAAGGCTGGAACATTTTGGAGTGGCCATCGCAGTCACCAGACTTAAATCCTATCCGATTGAGAACCTCTGGTGGGACTTAAAGAAAGCAGTTGCAGTGCGCAATAAGCCTAAGAATGTGACTGAACTGGAGGCCTTTGCCCATGAAGAATGGGCGAAGATACCCGTAGATCGCTGCAAGACACTTGTGTCAAGCTATGCTTCACGTTTAAAAAGCTGTTATAACTGTAAAAGGATGCTGTACTAAGTACTAAGATTGAATGTCACTTGGGGGTTGAATAAAACTGATAATGCTGTGAGCACAGAAAAGACATTTGTGGTTATTTCATTATAACTCTGTTATGTTATATTTGTCTGACCTACAAGTGCCTCTTTAATGTAAATGTAAGCAAGATGACTGAATGATCAAAAGCAATGTCAAACTGGCCAAAACACTCAATTTCAGTGGGGGTTGAATAATTTTGGCCACAACTGTAGGTGGCACACACACTCCCTACCCAGAAATGCAAATCACATATATCTCTATCTATCCATCCATTCAG